CTTGAGCACCGGTTTGTCTGATCCCTCGTAACACAAACTCATATCCTTGAGCTCTATCTGTCCCTTCTGTGGCCAATCGGGAGGGGGTTTATGGCTATCATGTGCTGTGAGGGCCGCCTCTTGTGGTAGTTTTGAGTACTCAATGATGCGCTCGACTGAAGTCATCTGACTCTCCACTTCTGCCGACTGACGGACACCCCATTCAGTCATTGCAGTCAACATCAGTGCTAAACATTAAATTCATTACAATAATAAAAAATTTATAAATAAATACGGTATTTAATAATTAATTATATCTTGGAGTTATCAAATAAATTTATTTAAGCCCATTTAATCAAAATCTAAATTATATTCATAGGATTATTATGGTGCAATTTTATAATTTATCACTTGGTACACTTTTAGGTAATTATGACAATTTTCAAAATACAATTCATTACAAAAGAAATTGCTGGAAGTTGTTGACAAAACTATTAAAATTAATTTTAATAAGAGAACTACATTGATGAAATCTGATTTAAAAGAGTTCTAATGTATGATGTAAAACAAACCTGATGATAAAGCGAGCCCCGACTCTCCCGCTCCCAACTGACCGGGAAATACCATAAACACGACAAATATGATAACCGTATAGAGAAAACACATTACGTCAATAATTAAACCAAATGCATGGGTAGCAGCGATTACGAGCATCCAGGTGGCCGAGTGATCATCTTGGTATACATAAAATTGTTTCTCAAACACTTCTTGCGCCCCAAAGGCCCTAACACTGGCCAACCCATTGAATGTAGTGCTCACGTGTGAAAACACAGGACTCTGTGCTATAAGTTATTGTAAAATTATTAATTTTGTTTACAAAATTATATTTTTGTTTAAACTTACTCAAACCTTCAGCACGTTTAATATCTCTAATTGAATTGATGTAAATTGATCTAGTTGCTAAAAGCACAACAATTAACAAAACTGCTGGTATGATTAAATATGGGTTTACAATTGTGATCATTATTATCCAACCGATACCTATAGTCACACACTAATTATGTTGTTATACAAAGATTGTTCATTGAATAAAAATTCAAACTTATATTTTATAGGAAATATCCAAATTGAAAAATTACCAAGTTGAACTCATACGCTGTACTTGGCAGCTGCTCGTCAATTGTACCAAGATCTTTTGAAAAACGATTTAATAAACGACCTATTAGGTAATAATTAGCATTATTTATTGGGTTAATGAATGAATTAAATAACAAACCAATTGGGTTGCTGTCAAACACAGATATCGGAGCCCGTAATAGACGATAAAACATACTGTTGTGGAGATTAACTGAAGCCCTCATAAACATCACAAACCATGTGATGGCTCTCAATAGGGATGCGATGAACAGCGCGGCCATCATTGAGGAGTAGATAATCACATCTCTGTTCTGATCAAAAGTGTTAATATTAGACGTGTTTTGATTTTTATCAGTCCTGTTATAAAAATGTACATTTTGATTAACATTTTTAATAATTGCAATTTATTTACCATTTTGTCAGAAAATAATCCGATCCGCTATTAATAATTTGAGCAATTATTGTAAATAAAATTGTAATGGAAAATAGTAAAGTGCCGGCGCCTGCCTTAATAAATGTGCAATATACTTTGCCAGATATTGAACCCGTTTCCCGACACTCATCAGTTATTTTCGGATCGTTTTGCTGCTCTTCATTCTTAATTAAAATATATATTTAATTTAGAAAACATTATTATAAATATTGATTACATTTTTAGTTGTCAAACAGTCCATTTGGTCGCAGTCCTCCTTATTTTGCTCTGCCTTATCGTCCGCTTCCCTCTCCTGATCGCTGAGAATAGACATGAAGTCTAAGCCCCGGGACTGGAGCTCATCATAGGATCCCAATCCCAGACACTTTCCCTCGTCGTTCAAAACCAATATTTGTGTCGCTTTTCGTATGAATTGGATTTGATGTGTGACTAGAATACGGATTTTGTCGCACA